ATTCCTGCTCCTTCACACAACAGCAGTGATATTTAGGTTCTTTTCACTGTGTTGCACAGAATTTGAGTTGTCTCTTTAGCTGGGGTTGAGTAAAATCTTCATATACCCTAACATAAGTTATATTACAAGTTGCTGCCCAGAAAACACAGGAATACTCACAGAAAAAGCTGCAAACTCAGATTTCCTAAAACACCAACAGTACCGAATCCCCAGTCAGCAATCCACCAAGCAAGAATGTATATAAATGCTAATGTTCTCCAAAACAGTGTCAAGAAATTTAGCCCAATGATTTCCACTGAATAAATTCAGCTTCACACAACCCACACCAGATCTGGGATCCAGATGTTCAGAGCAAAACGTCAGTGAATTCACAGAAAACTATTTTGCACTCTGCTCTGTCTGCTTAGTCTATTCCTAATTTCAGGGAAGCAGACTAATTGGTTTATCACATGTTCTGCCTCCTTTGATTCCTAGGACCCAGCAAGAAAGCTTTAAGGTGTATAGGAAAGAATGTCATGTTACATACTAAGTAGCTGCCTGTTAATTAAGATACTGTCTCAGAGCATCAGAAAATCACAAGCTCTGGGAAGACCGGAGACCCACAGATGATCAGCAACAGTCTCTCACAGCTTGTATCAAAAGAAATAAATTTTAGAAATTCTCCGAATGATTGCTGGGGAAGATGACAAAGGCATCTCTCTTTTTCAAGTCACAGCCTTCAGATAAGAATTGCTTTTACAGAAGGAAGGTAGGTTGAGTGTGTGAAACGATGAAGCTCTCTTTAAAAATGTCCTTCGGCCAAGAACATCCAACTTGCTATTTAGCAAGCCCAGCAAAACATCCAGAAAAACGTACTTTTGAATGTCAGCTGGAAGTCACAGAAAAACAGGCTTTGAAAGGAATCTCTAGAGGTCAACTGGTCCATCTCCCATGTCCCAAAGCTTTAACATTCCTCAGGGATGATCACTGTATGTTCAGTACGTGCTCCTCTGCTCTCTTGAACTAGTCTTCCTTGAAGAATTGCTCTCAAAATGGAATAAAACATATTTATTAGGCAAATGGCACACTGGGCAGAACATCCTACTGCAAACACCACACCATGAAACAGAAACCTCCATCCACCTCTGCAGAACAGCCTTACTAAAGCTCAGAAAGAAGAGAAGGTGTCACCACTCTGCACAAGGACACGCTTTGTCAATGGAAAGAAATGAGACCTGACCCAGAAAATGTGTGTCCACTCCACATTTGGGTACAACCAGTATCAGCCTCAGCCCATTCACAAACTGCTTATTTGTCCCATTTTTCTTCTGGAAGTTAAAGCTGCCCGGCCTATACCTAATGAAGTTTTCTTCCTCACTGTCTACGCTTCTAGAAGAAACTGCTAAAAGGACAAAGTCATATCTATGGAAATTCTTCCAGACTGACAAGGAATGTCTAGTAACTTTTACACTGCATCAATCAGTTTTAAGAATCCTAGTTTAAATTTCACCAGATTTCACGATCCAGAAAAAAAACTCTAAAGTCAGTCTTTGGCATTAATTAATTCTGTATAATTACTTGCTGTCAGTATACACAAAGGGTTCCTGCTAATGTATTTTAAACACTGCCATACAGCAATCTGCTATGAGGAGAATTCCTTTCACCTACAGGCATCCGTAGTGAAGTCAGGATTAAGAGGACAAAGTCCCCTCTGGCAAAGTCCTTTGGCCCAACCAATCGCCCACTTTCCCTTTTAGCTGATTATGGTTGTACCTTCCCACCAGTTATCTTAAGCATACAGGCAGCTCCAGCATTTGACATGTCAACAAAACTAAGGATTTTGTTTCTCTAGGCACACACAGTTTCATTTAGTACTTGCACATCCTTTAGGGATTAACCATAAATGTACTCAGGGCCCCTCCCACTCACCTGGGAAGCCTTATGGAGGATCTGCAGCTAAACCAGCCTGGCAGAGTCCCAGGCTGCAGCACTGCCCTTGTTGACACAGCAATTTTAACCCGCCAAGGTTCAGTTCTCACTTCTCACATGCCTGTAGAAGGTGGTTTCTCAAGAGACTGTCCATCTCCCAGTGCAGGAGAAACCACAAGCTACTTTATATTTGTGGCTTGTCCAAAACCCCTGTGTTAACTCAGGATGCCTTTGCAAAGAGGCCAGACTGAGTGAAAATGTCAGCTGATGTGAGATTTTCTTCCAGATGAGAAACCTACCTACACACACCCTACAGAAAAGGCTGGTAAAGTCATCTCTGAGAACAAGCTGTGAAAACAGCAGCAGATTAGTGGCAATCACCTCACTTGTGTGGTTTGTGCACACAAGAGAAGTGCACTCCCTTATCCCAGGGGTCTATATAGCAGAGCAGATCTTCAGTCACCACTGCAACGAATATGGGGCCCAAACTGCCCAACATGAGTATTATCTGTACACAGGGACAGCAAATAGCACGTGTGACATGCTGGTGAGTATTGAAGAGGGCAGGAGAAACTATACAATGACACAAGTATTCTCAAGAGCAGTATAAGTGACATCCAGCCTGCTCCCTTCTTACATCCTAAACTGTAAAACTGGTCACCTGGGTCCTCTGTTTCACCTGAATTCCTTTACTTGCCAGCACAAACATAATAATTCAACACCACCATTTACAAATATTCTAATTTTGTTTACCTGAGCATAGCAAATGAAAATTCCTGTTTCAACTCATGCGGATTACACACCTTCCTGTCTAGATACATTAAACAGGCACCAAGCATCAAATGAAAGTTAACTTACTAGACAAAACAACAGAGAAAATAACAACAAAAAAGGCTTGGAAAATTAATTACTTTTCAGAAGTGCAATGAAATAGGCTAGGCAATCATACAGGTTGAGTATCTGGCTTGGCACCTAAGAACAGCTATATTTTTCTTTTTTGTCTCTATGTCTGGGCTGTTATTTCTTGCCATAAAACGTTTAAGCTCAAACATATGTTCATCTCCAGATCTTGAGAAAAATACCCTGGCGAAACGTAAACTGAAACAAAAGGCTATGTTACTTTTTCAGAACTAAAAACCCAACATAAATCACCACTGTATCCATTTAAGCATTTAAGTCAAATTAATATTTACCCATGAGCAGGATCCAAAGCTATTGCCCTGGGCTGATCAAGGTCTTGCCAGAAGAGGACTTTTCTAGATGTTCCATTGAGATTAGCTACTTCTATCCTATTGGTTTCTGAATCCGTCCAGTAAAGTTTTTTCCCAATCCAATCACATGCCAGGCCATCCGGGGAAACCAGACCAGAAATGATGACATTCTGCACCACATTCCCAGTTTGGTTAATGTAAGTTTGCTTGATGGCTTCTTCACTCACATCTGTCCAGAAAACGATGCCTTGTGAATACTGGAAGTCAACCGCAGCAGCATCCTCTAAGCCACTGACCACCACAGAGCTCTCCAGCTTCGTGCCGCCAGCATCCACAAGTCGAACGTCCCGACGGTTGGCAAAGAGTAGAAAGGGAGATGCTACAGAAGGGAAAAAAAGAACAATGAGAACACATTAGTATTACTGGCATCTGCAGATGTTACAGCACTGAGTACGAACGCGGCAGAGCTGGAGTCCCCTTCCCAGAGCAGGGCAGGCAGTACAGCAGGAGGAATGCGGAAGCTGCATGAGGGAAAAATGCACACTACCCAAAAACCTCTTCCTTCCACATGAGACAAAGAAGTAAAAGACAAGAGGAAAGGGTAGGCCCAGTTCTGTATCTATGGGGTATGGATAGTGTCTTCAACACAGCTAAGACTTCACACTCGGGCCTTTCAACAATACATAAGCACAGGTTTAGAGCAATTCAAATCTTCACGGTTTAAAGGCTTGCTTCACCCAGCTGAAGTGGTGACAACACAGAGGGCAAGTTCCAATGCCTGTGGGTAGCAGGCTGGAAGAAAACGGTACTAGATAAAACAGTCTGAGCTGCTCTGATCAAGCCCCCTCCCGGATGGCAAAGACTGTGACAGGGGTTCACACTACTGTCTTCTTGCCTGCACCACAACGAAGAGAAGTTCAAGGACCAGTCTGAAGGAAGACAATGATGTGGGTTGTGGAAGCTGGATCTGAGAGTGAGACACACAGGCAGCAGTCACACTGGCAGAGTCCAGCCCTGGAAGGATGCCCTTCCTGCCACATCAGCTCTCATCTGCCATGACATGAGGGGAGAGTTAACTGCGCTTGCAGCTGAGGCTGTCCCCTCATCCTCTGAGAGGGAGAGAGAGTTGTAAGTGTCTGAGTCCTACAATTCCTCCCTCTGTTCCCCACAAAGAATATTACAATACTCTAGCAGAGGGAGAACGTAAAGATCACCTGAAGGACCCACCATGAGGGCAGAAGGCATGACTCAAACACAAAGGTATGATTCAGCCCAACTGCTTCTTCCAGAAGAGGACATTATGTAGATTTACTGCAGGACATTCCCTCCCAGCCATACCAGCCACGCTGTATATAGATAAGTTAACCACTTAATTTCTCTCCTACAAGTGCAGGCTTGCTTCTTCATCCAGCAGTAAGCAAGAAAAATAATTATCTGTAGGTATGGCTGGGAAGGCAGCAGCCAGCTACAGTGATGCCACCATACAGGTCACAGCTGTGAACACCACTGGCAGCTAAGGAGAATGTCAGTATTTCAGAATAAGCCACTAGATGCTGAAAGTAATGGAGCTCCCTCTGACTGCCAAAGTCTGCCAGGGTTCTCATGTCATCAGGAGAGCTATCTTCATTTGCCCCTACTGTCTGCCACCTTGAACTCCAGTATGCTGCCCGTGCCTCTCCACAGTTCTTCTAACTCAAGAGGCAGCTGCTTGACTTCTACATCAGTCAGGTGCTAACTTCTAGTTTCATGTACAACCAATTTCACTTGATGCTGCTGCTTCCCATGCACACCCATCGTGATGTTTGAGAAGTCTGGAAAAATTGATCAGACAATGATGAACAGTGTAAATAATTACTGATTGCAGAAACCTGGCTTAGACACGACCATTCTCTTTCAGCTGCTAAAACCTGGGAGACAAGATAGGAAAGAACTAAGGAAGAACATCCTGGTTTGATGAAGGCCACGAGATCAGAAGAGTAGCAGGAGGAACTGGCCTCAGCCAAAGAGCAAAACAGGGGGAAAGGTAAAATCAACAGGGGGAAATGGTGACTACCAACTCAATTAGGGACCAAGAAGACTCACACCCCAAACCACGCCCTCAAGGGGCGCGCGTGCCGATTTAAACACAACTAACCAGTAACAAAGGTGGGATTAATCACTAACTGACGAGTGTAAACCTGGGTGGGTTTCTGTCCGTCGTGTAATGGTATAAATAAACTGTAGTTTGTGTCCAGAGCTTTGTGGAATACCACCTTGCTCCCAGCTTTGGGCAAATCTGTATAAAGAAATACCTCGACTCCGTGCGTGTTTCTGCTTGGCACACCCAGTAAAGAACCCGGATTTGGGAACAAGCAGAGGACAAACACTTGCCACTCGACTCAAGGAACAGCACGCAGGACAGAGCGGCATATGTTATCTCATCTTCTAGAGCTTCAAGACAGTTTCAAATTCTTGTTACTGGGCATAATATGAGAGTCAGCTCTGACACTGTCTCTCAGATTCAATGCCTCCTCACTCTGAGAAGCAGACAGCTTACACAAGGTCTGAGCTGCAGGTCTGCTGACAGGCCTGCCACACCCCATTGCCTTCTCTGTGAACCAGAGTTCACAAAAGCAGACATCACCAGATGCTCACTGGGAACTGTGTGCCACTGCCTGGGCCAAAGTGAAGTACATCTCTGGCAACAGCTTTCTGCATTTATGTGCAGGCCAAGGACCTCCGAATCTACAATTCAGCCTCAGATGATCTTAAAAACATGCATAAAAATTCAGCCCTTTTATTACTATTCTGCAAGGCCTCTTTTTTTCCTTCCATGTCAGGGAAGAGATGGCTTTATTTTTTTCTGGAGGGAGTCTACGCTGATGAAAGTAGTAATGAAAATTTAAATCAGCTGCTAGTTTTAGTCAGGATCTTGGACAGCAAAGACACACACAACCGTTACCATGAATGCTTCACTGAAAATGTACTACCTTGTTTTCCACAATATTTAATCAAGAAAGTTCATACAACTCGAGAATTATTTATTAAGAAATGAAGTCTCGGTGTCACTTGTATCTCATTTGCTAACTTGCCAAGTCTTCATCTTTGCCACCTTTAAAAACACTGTGAATTGTACCATGAGAGCCCAACGGGTTAGTTACTGAAAACAGAAGAAAAAAATGTCTAGAATGCAAAGTGCTTGTTTTCTTCTCTGCAGCTCACTGGATCCCCATAACCATGTCTATGTGAAGCGGCACTGTACCAAACCGTCTCAACACTTGTAAAGTTTGACGTTAGCAGGTTCTGTTTCAGTCGGAAGTTCTCTGGGGCACAGACCTTCTCAAGTTAGTGCCTCACAAAACCAAACCCATACCCAGCCAAAGATCAAAGCCATAAAAAGACTTTGCGTAAAGTTTTTAAAAATATTGTCCCAAAAATGTAGTTTGAGGAATACGAATAGACAGATTTTCATGGAGACACTTCCATGCTGAAGTCATTATTAATGCTACTACAAAGGAAAAGGGAACCTGAAACATCAAGTCCAATCAGCAGCAGAGGAACCTGAACAGCTTCTTAGCTAAAGATCAGACATGAACAATGTCTAATCCAATCAGTATCAGTATTATCCCAGCTCCCCATCCCTTTCAAGGGATTTCTTCCCCATTGCTGCACACAGTAGGGCAAGAGCACACGGACAACACGTTAACCACTGTGTCCTCTGTCACTTCTGTGCCTCCAAGTCGCCCTGAGTGAAGTGCAGCTGCTTTGTGCTGGTGAGGAACACCCAGCAGGGAAATCACACTGCCCTGCTTGCAATTTTGTTAAAATTTCACTGCGTTTATACAGTGATGTTAACTGATTTATTGCTGAAAACAGCCAGCATTTATCCCTTTTAAGAACATGTGAGTATTCCATTTCCTTGGGGAAAACAAATAGAAGAGATACGGCAGAACGCTGATTCTGAAAACCATATTTGCTTCTCTGCTCCTCCACCAGCCTATTCTATCCAGTCCAAATTTTATAAAAAATGGTTGTGTAGCCCTTTTAGAGCATTATTGGTATGCAAAATGAAAACAAAGCAAAACCCCCTAAACAGCGACCAAAACAAGGAACTAGTTCTCAATACTGATTCTTGCCTGGAATGCTTGAAAGAAACTCTTGCCTGAAAGAAACACAGGCTCTCCCAACTTAAAAATAATGCAAAAGTCAGAAGGGCAATTAAATGCTCTGTTTCCTTGGCCTTGAGTTTATCACATCAGGTCAGAACATGATGGCTCACTAGCAGGCAAAGTTACTAGCTCTGGTAACTCTGCAGCTTTGACTAAATATAACCTCTAAGACATCACGGAACTTTTCAAATATCCTCATTTCCCAGTTAGTAAGCAATAAATCTGAAAGAGGCAACCAAGAAAGCAGATGCCTTTCTAGAAGACTAGCTGCATAGCATTTAGTTTCACAGAATTGCAAAACTCAACAGCTTAGCAATTCAAAAGGCACATCCGTACCCTAAGTGATTAAAATGAACAGGTTTTTTAAGGCATTAGAATGAGAAAGAAAGCAAGCTTAAAAAGCAACAAAACAAATGTAACTGACAAAAAAAATTGATCTGCTGTGCCATCAACAAACCATCCTACAGATTCAAGATCATCCTACCAACACATGATGCAAGTGTGTTTATCTTGAATCCCACGTATATGCAGGATTAAAGGTTCATGTCCAAGAACGTGCAGACCAATCATGCTGCCTTCTCAACCCCAAACTGGGCTTGAAGGTCCAGAGGACACTCTTATCCTTGGTGCGTGTACCTCTTTGCTGCATAACTCTTGACAAGGCAAACTGGAAGGCCAGTTTAACAGCCACGTCTGAGGAAAGGGATGCACAGAACAGGGAGACTCAAAAACACCAGCAACAACTTTGATTTCTCTTGATCCTCAAACAAGCTTATCCATTACATAACAAAAAGATCCTTGCTTGATAAGTTATTCCATGGTAGAAAGGTAGGAGACTCTCAAAGGAACTCTTAGTTTTATGCTCAATTTTGATCAGCCATGCTCCCCACAAGTGCAAATTGCTTGAAAGGGGAAGCACCAGCTTCTATTTTGAAAAGGGAAAAGAATAAACAGTAACAGGATGAATGATGAATGTGGAGGACAAACTGTTTATATCCAGCCTATTACCATGCAACTGAAAGGACAACATTTTCAAGCACTTAGAAAAAAAAAAAAAAAAAAGAAGAAAAAAAAACCCCAGCCCTTTATTCCTTTCCAGTAAAATTAGAACAGTTCATTTTTTTTCCCATAATAGGCAGTATTTGAAATCTCTGTACATAGCTGGAGTTCACAAACCTTTGATAAAGCAAAAAAAAAAAAAAAAGACCCTGAAATCCCACAAATTATCAAACAAAATCTAAACAGACAACAGCCTGAACTGTAGAAAGTTACAGACTTCTTGCAGCAATTCTATAATCTCATTTGGATCATGCAGTACTTGATCAACAATACTTCATTCTAGAAAGACATATTATTTCTATTCAGACACCCACCAATTTTCCAGTGGTTTTCTGCCAACTGGAAAACACACCCTTGACTATAATAGAGCTATCTACACAGAGGCTTACCACACAGCAGTGTGGAACTAGAGCTTCTCACCAGGCTGTTACCTGGAGAAAGGGAACATTCCTGATCGAGCTAGTTAGGAATTAAGCATGGGCATAATTTCCAGCTTTGCTCTTGGCAAATCTTCTGTTCCTTGTCTGTATTTAATTACTGAATTCGAATTGCTTTACCTGCACCTGTCCTGTGCAGACATAATATCAAACTAGAGGATTGTACACTTTATATACAATTCATTTGGTTGACCACTACAAATGACAGAAGTTTTAGCACATCTACTGTAGTTCCCTTACCACCATCTCTATTACATTCATAAGTAATACAAAAAAAGATTTTTTTTCAATGTACTGAAGTTTTAACTCCTGGGTACTTCACCATGCATAAAAAGGCAGTAATGATCTTTCTTTTTCTTCTGTCTTCCACCTGTCCGTGTTAAAACATAGACTCTATGAAGTATGGCAAGTCTCCTGCCTAGCTGTAACCACCTTCCAAGAGAGCAGGCCAGTGTGCTGCTTCTGAATTCAGCCACCAACTTTCATTGGCTGTTTTAATTGCACCAATCCCATCTAAAGCACTTAAATTCTATTGAAGTGCTTCAGGGGCACTCGTTAGCCTCAGCGAGGTGACATGGGACAAACAACTGGAAACTGCCCTACATGATCTCTGCTAGTGGTTTCAGTAATAGTTCTGACAACCAGTTTGACAGGGCTCAACTCATTTACATGTGAAGACTAAGATGATCATGAATTATCATCAACAGAGCATTTGTCATCAGTTGCTGGTTAGCTGTAAAGCTGCAACAGTTCTAAGACAAGCTGAGCAACAGAGTTTTAAGAAGTCAGATTTATGCTACTGCTTCATACTTGTCAACATGCCTACATTGTCTCCTTCCCCTTAAAGCCCAAGCAGAGAGGCACGCGAACACAAGGGCATGCACACGACTCCTAGTCTCGAAAGCACCAAACCCCCTATGTATAGCCCAGGAGAAAAGCCTTCCTTAATTCTGAAACCAGTTAACTAGGCTAAAGGTCATGGAAAGGTTTAACTGTGCTTTTAAGACAAGTGACCGAGGATCTTGGGAGCCTGGTAGACAACATAAAATGAAGATCTCATTTTAATAAGCATACAAGCTAAAATAGCCATCCAAAATTACAGTATGTGCAACAACTTATATTTTAAATATTATTTCAACTCTTAACAGGACAAATGCATAGGGGACCTCTGTGGTTAAGCCATCTGTGCTGCCGGACAGAGAGAATAGCATGTAATTCTTGCAGCAATGTCCCAAACCACAAAAACATTCATTACCGAGGAACAAAAACACACACCCCACCCCCGCCGTGGGCACGGTGAAGAACAACTGTGTCAAAACTTTGGCACCCAAGGCTGTACAGCCTTATGGAAACTCTAAGACAGGATATGGAATAAGAGAGAACCAACTTTCTGTACTTAAAAAGAGCTCTCGTGCAGAAACACCACCACACAGGTAAGGTCCTAGCAGCCACAAATTAATCGGAGGAACCAGTTCCCACAGCACAAAGTGATCCTGCTTGTCCAGCTCTGACTCTTCTGGAGTAGAAGGAGGATTAGACCTTTGATGTGTAGCATAAGGCTCCTTCCAAACATTTAGGGAAGGAAGTTATTCCACATGCTGTCACCCTTTGGGGCATTATCCCTATTTTTCATGGCTTAGCTCAAGGAGAGAGCAGCTGGTGGCAGCATAAGTTCGCACCCCAGGACACAGTCACTGCAGGAGCCATAAAGACATAGGAACTAAGGTAAAGAGGAGACAAGACAGACTCGGGCATGGAAGAGAAAGGAAGGTAACAAAGTTTTGCCCACCCTGTCCCCTAAAAATCAAGCACAACTAAAATACCCAGTCTGACATCACGCTAGGTAAGATTGGAGTATGGTATGTACAAATCCCACAGATACACCAAAGTTCCTTTTACTTTAACTTAACTGTTATATATTTATTGGGGGGGAAAGGGGAAGCTTCTTTCTTAAATACTCTAATTTCTGCATTCTGGACCCTGGTCCTTTTCGCTGGCAGCTGCTGCTGAGAATCTGAAATGACTATCTTCAAAAGACAGATCACACGTTGATCTTCCTGCACAACTGCATCTACCCAGCCCGAGTTTTAACTTGCCAGGTACAGTCCTCCAAAGAATAGCAGGCTACTGCTTTCACCCTCAAAACCCTATTGCAGATAAGGTGAATTCCCAGTGTAATTACTGAATTATAGAATATTCTTGATGCAACACAGAGGTAGGTGGTAGCAGTTTGTTGAGTGCAGGACTAAAAAAAAATCAGGGCTCCTCCATCTCACTCCCACACAGACCCACCTTAGTGAACCTGAACAGGTGCTTCAGTCCAATGATTAGTTCTACAAATCATCCCACAAGCTACAAAAAAATACCTTTCCTTTTGCTGTTAATTATCTCAAAGGGCTGCCATGAAGCTGACTCATGCTTGAGCAAGGCACTTGAACATCTTCCTGCAGAAGGCTCCATGATGCACTCAGCTTTTCATTTCTGACAGTGAGATAAAGGAGAGTAAAACAACAGTCCAACCAGTAAAGGCTTTTTTGAGAGGCTGAAGATCATTCATTCATTCATTTTTCACTGGCAAAAGGGTCACGTGAAAAATTAGATGAGGTTAGACTTTGGTTTTTTCATTGATGGGGAAGGGATTGCAGAGAAGACACAGAAAGAAACATGCTCTGAAGCTACTGCAGCACACTACAGAAGCTGCAGAATTGTTTGGAATTGGTGATTTTCAACAGCAGTTGGACAGACATTCCCCAGGTATGGCTTTTGCACAGTAAATTCCTGCCTCAGTGAAGGAGTTTCATCTGTGTGTCTTGAAACAAAAGATAAAAAAAAAAAGACTTCAGTGGACTGAACTCTCCATACCATTTCACTGAAAATCTGGATTACAAGGGTGTGGGGTTGCTTCTGTTTATCCTTGGGTTTACACAAAACGTTTTTAAAAACTCTCCCAGTAACATAATACTCAGATCACTGTTCCTGGCCCCCTCCTGATGCATGTGAGTTTAATGAATTTATCAAATGCGAACTTGAAAGTAT